TCTCCAGTCCGAAATCGACGCACAGAAAGGAAAACACGCCGAGGAGCTATCTTCTTTGAAAAAGACGATCAATGACCTTCAATCCGCACTGCAAACCAGCGAAGAGAAGCATGCGGCAGAGTTGTCCGCTCAGAGCTCGACTTCAACTACGCTCCAATCTGAACTTGATACGCAGAAGGCCAAGCATGCCGAGAAATTGTCTGACTTGAACAAAACGATTGAGGATCTACGATCCAAGCACGGTGCGGATGAAGAGAAACATACAAAATCACTGTCTGAGCTGCAAAAAACGATCGACGACCTTCAATCCAAGCTCGATGCGGATAGAGAGAAGCATGCAAGCTCAGTGTCCGAGCTGCAGAAAACAATTGAGGACCTCCAGTCGGGCAGCGGTGCGAACACTGAGAAGCACGCGCATGAAGTGTCCGGCCTCAATGACACAATTCAGACTCTGAAGTCGGATATTGACAAGATCAAGCAGCAACACAAGGCCGAAATTGCCGAGCATGAGACCACCAAGCAAGGGTTACAGTCCGAGTTGCAGTCGACCATAGAAAAATCTACGCAAGATCTGCAATCCGTGCGCCATGACAGCTCAGACAAACACGCTGCGCTAGAAAAGAGGATTGAGAAGGCGGAGAGCGAGGTCGAGCAGGCTAAAGCAGAAGCTCAGAAGACGGCAGCAGCCCTGGAAGCTGTACGAAAAGAGCTTGAGAAGGCCCGATCTGAGGCCAGCGAGAAGGAAGAAGCACGCCAGGCGGCACAGTCCGAACTAGAAGATCTTCTCATTGTCTTTGGGGATCTCGAAGCCAAGAGAAACCAGGACAAGGTGAGTCACCCCTTTACCCTTTTACCCAAACTCTGACGTGCATGTAAGTGACTCATTGATTTCTCCAGCAACGCCTGAAGGATCTCGGACAAGAAGTATCTGAAGCGGAAGATGAGGAAGAAGAGGATGATGAAGAGGATGAGTAGGTTGCAGCGTCGAGAAAGCTGGACTATGCATCAGCCCTCACTGTCGTTGGATGATAGACAAAATAAGACCCCGTAGATATCCATGAACAATTATGGTCCAGCTGGTTCAGGGTCCATGTGTAGGAGAGCTAGACACGTGTGGATAATATTAAGTATTGTGGCTACGTACTAGGAACCTTGAGTCCTGGCGCGCCTCATTCCGGCGGCAGGCGGGGCACGCACTAGGTTGGTTCCTTTGTGCAGCTTGGCTAAAATTCCAACCGCGGGGTGACTCACGACTTTATCGTGCGCACGACTCTATTTCTACCCCGCGGCCATCCACTCTCTGCGCAGATCGTATCGATTGCAGCCTCCCCCCCCTTCCCTTTTTCGACGACCGCACTCACCTGCTCGTCATGTCCATTGATTTTCCTCGTGAAGAGGAGGCCATCCTCAAGAGGTGGAGGGAGATCAACGCTTTCCGGAGACAGGTCGAACTCTCCGAGGGCCGCGAGCCTTACACCTTCTACGATGGCCCTCCATTTGCGACTGGTCTTCCTCACTACGGTCACTTGCTCGCCTCGACCATCAAGGATATCATCCCCCGTTATTGGTCTATGAAGGGTCACTATGTCGAGCGTCGGTTTGGCTGGGATACCCACGGTGTTCCCATCGAGTATGAGATTGACAAGAAGCTGGGAATGTCGGGTCTGGAGGCCGTTCAGAAGATTGGAATCGAGAAATACAACGAGGAGTGCCGAGCCATTGTCATGAGATTCGCCTCGGAATGGCGGGAGACTATCGAACGACTAGGTCGCTGGATTGACTTCGACAATGACTACAAGGTAGGTCTCTCTGCGCTATATTAGTTTCATGTCTTCGTGTCGCCTGAACACCCCGTCATTTCAAAGTATCATTCAGCTTCAAGAGTGTTTTCTAATCAAGTATCATAGACCATGAATGCTAGCTTCATGGAGTCTATCTGGTGGGTGTTCAAGCAGCTGTTCGACAAGGGTCTTGTCTACCGCGGCTACCGTGTTATGCCTTACTCGACTGCCCTCAACACCCCCCTCAGTAACTTTGAGGCCCAGCAGAACTACAAGGATGTTCAGGATCCCGCCGTTGTGGTCACATTCCCCCTCGTGAACGACCCTGAGACTGCCCTCCTTGCCTGGACGACCACGCCGTGGACTCTTCCTTCCAACATCGCTCTCGCAGTCAACCCCAACTTCGAATACATCAAGATCCTTGACGAAGCCTCCGGAAAGCACTATGTCCTCCTCGAATCCCTGCTCCGTACACTGTACAAGGACCCTAAGAAGGCCAAATTCAAGATTGTCGACCGTTTCAAGGGTGAACACATGAAGGACTGGAAGTACCAGCCTCTCTTCGACTACTTCTACGAAGAATTCAAGGAATTCGGCTTCCGTGTCTTGACCGCCGAGTATGTCACTGCCGAGGATGGTACTGGTATCGTTCACCAAGCTCCCGCTTTTGGTGAGGACGATTACAAGGTTTCTGTGGAACATGGTGTCATCAATGAAGATCGCAGCCCTCCCAACCCTGTCGATGAAACTGGTTGCTACACCGCCGAGGTTAAGGATTTCGAAGGGCAACATGTGAAGGCCGCTGATAGGGCTATCATCAAGCACCTGAAAGCAGCTGGTCGCTTGATCGTTGACAGCCAGATCACTCACAGCTACCCCTTCTGCTGGCGCTCCGATACTCCCTTGATCTACAGAGCCGTTCCTGCATGGTTTGTCAAGATCGGCCCTATCATCCCACAGATGCTTCAAGGTATCGAGGAATCCCACTGGGTGCCTAGTTTCGTGAAGGAACGCCGATTCTCTAGCTGGATCCAGAATGCCCGTGACTGGAACATCTCCCGCAATCGCTTCTGGGGTACTCCCCTTCCGCTGTGGGTCAGCGAGGACTTCAAGGAAGTCGTTGCGGTTGGTAGCGTCGAAGAGTTGAAGCAGCTTAGCGGCTACGAGGGAGAGCTCACCGATCTTCACCGTGATAAGGTTGACCACATCACTATTCCAAGCAAGCAGGGCAAGGGTGTCCTTCGCCGTGTGAGCGAAGTGTTTGACTGCTGGTTCGAGTCAGGTAGCATGCCCTACGCTTCTCAACACTATCCCTTCGAGAACAAGGACCAATTCGAGAAGAGCTTCCCTGGTGATTTCATTGCGGAAGGTCTAGACCAAACCCGAGGTTGGTTCTACACTCTCACGGTGTTGGGAACCCACCTCTTCGGTAAGCTTCCCTTCAAGAACTGTGTCGTCAATGGTATTGTTCTTGCGGAAGATGGAAAGAAGATGTCGAAGCGTCTGAAGAACTACCCTGATCCGGCCCTGGTCATGGACAAATATGGTTCCGACGCCCTGAGATTGTATTTGATCAACTCTCCCGTCGTGCGAGCAGAGCCCCTCCGGTTTAAGGAATCCGGTGTCAAGGAGATTGTTGCCAAGGTTCTTCTTCCCTTGTGGAACAGTTACAAGTTCTTCGAGGGACAAGCTGCTCTCTTCAAGAAGACCCAGGGCTTCGACTACGTATTCGACCCCAAGGCGGAAGCTACCAACACCAATGTCATGGATCGCTGGATCCTGGCCAGCTGTCAGAGTCTTCTCAAGTTCGTGAACGAAGAGATGGCAGGATACCGTTTGTACACTGTGGTCCCTCGTCTGCTTGGCTTGATTGATAACACCACCAACTGGTACATCCGCTTCAACCGTAGACGTTTGAAGGGTGAGAACGGTGTCGACGACACCCAGCACGCCCTGAACACCCTCTTCGAGGTCTTGTACACTCTGGTCAGGGGGTTGGCTCCTTTCACCCCTTTCCTCACCGACACTATCTACTTGAAGCTCCTGCCCCACATTCCCGAGGCGCTCCGGGCTGAGGATAGCCGTAGTGTCCACTTCCTCCCCTTCCCTGAGGTGCGCGAGGAGCTTTTCGACGAGGTCGTTGAGAGAAGAGTCGGCCGGATGCAGAAGGTCATCGAAATGGCCCGTACCTCCCGTGAGCGACGCAACATCGGTCTGAAGACTCCTTTGAAAACGCTTGTCGTCATTCACCAGGACGAGCAGTACCTTGAAGATGTCAGGTCTCTACAGAGCTACATTCTGGAAGAACTGAACGTTCTTGAGCTTGTTCTTTCTTCTGATGAGGCCAAATACAATGTTCAGTACAGTGTTTCGGCTGACTGGCCCACCCTCGGCAAGAAGTTGAAGAAGGACGTCCAGAAGGTCAAGAAGGCATTGCCCTCGCTGACCAGTGAAGACGTCAAGAAGTTCGTCGCTGAAAAGAAGATGCTCGTGGATGGCATTGAGCTTATCGAGGGCGATCTTGTTGTGAAGAAGGGTCTAAAGGAGGATTCTTCGTCGGTTAACATGGAATCGAATACCGATAATGAGCTCGTGACCATCCTTGATGCGAATTTGTACCCCGACCTGGCCGAGCAAGGCTTGGGCCGTGAGATTATCAACCGCCTGCAGCGTCTCCGCAAGAAGGCCGGTCTGGTGCCCACCGACGACGTGAAAATGGAGTACGTGGTTCTGTCCGACCCTGAAGACATTGGTATCAACAAGGCGTTTGAGACGCAGGCCAAGGCTATCGAAAAGGTTGTGCGCAGACCGCTTGAGCGCCACGAGCTTGTTGACGGCAAGCTGCCAAGTGGCGATGAGCCTCAGATGATCATTCAGGAAGAACAAGAAGTCCAGAAGGCCACCTTCTTGTTGCGGTTGCTGAAGCTGTAGAAACTTTTGGCCAAGTTAAGATGTGCAACGACAACAGTTAGATTCATACAATTCCCAGTGGTTGTTTTTTTCCCCCGTTATGAGATAAAATGAGTTCTTCGCTATCCCAATTTATTACACGAAAATTTTTGTCTTTTATCATTTAGACATAATGCATGCCTGGCCAATCCAATACGCCTAGTAAACCCTCTGTTCTGCCGCCCAATACAGTTCAGTTAAATTAAACCTTCTTTGAGGCCGCCTGTAGCACACAAATCAGTCATCTATTCATCCGAGAATGTCGGTATTTCACTCTACCAGAAAACAGTCTTTGAGCTTCATAAATTCTCTGGCACACATGTCTTTGTGTACCGCATTATAGTCAGCAACAACACATTTGCCATATGCAGCCGCCTAGGATCCAGTCACCAGTCAGTTGGGTGTACATGATGCCTGACGGAACAGTCGTGTGAGACAAGCAGGAGGGACGTGAGGGATACCTCTGCAGAGCATTTGGCCGTGGCCTTGGCAAACTTTTCGATAGGTCTTGTCCTTGTTGAAGGCATTTGCTTATTATTCTCTTACAGCCTGGCACTTGACAGAGGGCCTCAGTCAGTAAGTGATTGGCAGCATTATCGACGATGGCGACGACGCAGGCAAAGGGACCCATATTACGTAACGTATCACATGACCAAAATGCATTCCATCGCCCGGCGCGACACGAGGCCAAAACAATTAAGTGGTTCCCTCCGCCGAAGTCAATGCTTGTTCACTGGCCGTAGTAGCCATTGGGTCTGCAGGTCCATCGGGATCGCGTTCGATTATCATACCTCTCAGACTTGAGCACTCTGGGACTCCAAGGTCACTTCCCAACCAAGGGCCTCGCAATGGTTGATATCCTTTCCCGCCTCCATGACCTATATGCGACAAAACGCGCCCTAGGCCGCGAAGTTTTCGATGCCTCCCATTCCTCTCCAGCGAAGACCTTTGTCCTTTGAAGACCCGTTGCTCTCAGACGACGGTATGTGACTTGACTATTGCAATTTTGCTCGAACCCTTAAGGGATGCTAACATGGGCTCGTGTGTTGCACACCAGATGTCGGCCTCCTCTACCAAGTCATCACTCGCGCCGAGCGCGATCCAGAAGTCGAGCGCCTCCCATACAGAGTGCTCTTCAATGCTTACGATCAGGTCATTGCAGAACATGGCGTGGACGCGGATCCGGGCTACGCCTGCATGCGGTTCTTGCTTAAGATGGGGAGCAAGGACATCGCGGGGGAGTCGCTCTTCGAGAAATTCGAAAGCTTGCTAGAACGGATGGGAATCGTGATTGAAATCGGGGACGATGATGGGCAGGAGGACACATACGTTGACACTGTGCCTTCAGTTGAAAGCCGGGTTAGGAAAAGGAGACACGACGCTACCGGGGAATCTACTGAACCGACCTACTCCGAAATGCAAACGCCTCTGCGGAGACGCGCCTCGTTCAATTCCATGTACGACGTCGGTGACGATCCCACTCAACGGAGCTTCATTAACCGACCGAGCTCACGGTCCTCGATGTCGCGACTCCAAATCGGCAAACCCGAGTATCCCTTTCCGGATTCCACCCCACACACAAAGCGCGCGATCACCTCAAAGGGGGGCACCGACTCTCCAGACAGAACACAACTGATCGCCCAATTCCTTGATGTGGGTCGTCGGCTCATGAATCGGTTTGATCTCCTGGCTGCAGCGCAATCAGAGTCGGCACCGGAGGAGAAGCCCATGCCAAATGGCTTGTATGCTCGTGCTGCTGTTGACAGAGACCGCTCCGAGAGAATAGCCGAGGCATCGCGTTCGCAACCATCAAAGTCTTCGAACAGCTCCGATGATGGGGAGGATCAGTATTCTTCTTCTCAAGATGAGGCTAGCGGCTCCTTTGGGCGACCCGAAGCCCCTCCAGAACTCCTGTATCGGCCATCACTTTCAGACCTGCTGCGCGACGCCTCGACTTTCAATATGTATCGCCAACGAGCGATTCACCGCCGAATACTGACCCAGTGGCTAAAGAAGGCTGTGGAAAGAAGACAGACCCATCAGCATATGGAGGTTGTCGCTTCCAATCGAGACAGAGGCACATTGTTGCGCCAAGCTTTTGAGACATGGCATGGGAAAATCCTCGAAAAGCGTCGGGCGGAACGAACAGAAAGGTTCTTCAATCATCTTGAGGAGCGCGCTGGACGGGCTCGGGATCTCTACTTGTTGACGAAAGCGTTCTCTCATTGGGCGCAATTTACCTCAGAGGAGGTTGCAAGAACCTCCGCCGCTCGCCGACATATTCTCGGTGTCAAATACTTCAACGCGTGGCGAGAAATCACTGCAGTGAACGAATTGAAAGCTCATCGCTTTGCCTTGCGGCGACCCTTCAATGCCTGGAGGAAAAGGACGAGACAGCTCAAGCAGGCGGAGGCGGCAGCGACGGCCATGCATGACGAGAAGTTGACCAATGCTGCTTACTGGCAGTGGTTCTGGCAATTCTGCGAGCAGCGTGCCCCTCAGTGGTATGACCATTGTCTAAAGAGACGGTCTTTACTGTATTGGCTGCGCAAATTTCGAACAAACAGGGAGCAAATTCATGATATTGAAGTCAGAAGTCGGCACAATCTCCTCACATCTGCTTGGCAAAGCTGGCGTCACAGGACTGAAGACGTAAATGTTATTGAAGAGGAAGCGTCTCTGATACAAAGACGTCAGCTTCTAGGTGAGACTTTCAGAGAATGGAAGGCTCAGACTCATCTAGCGCCGGTCGCTGCCCATATCTCACACATGGTGGACAACCGAATTCTCCGATCAACGTATCAACAATGGATTCACAGGGTTCAGATGTTACAGCAGGCGAGAGAAATGGATCGACACCGCATTGTCCGTAATGCCTGGACAGCGTGGAATGATCTGCTTCGTTGCCAGGCTCTTCATGCCCGCATTGATGAACGCCTGAAGCTAGAAGCTATGTATAAGTGGATTCTGGCCGAACGACTTCGATTGATGCAGCGGATCCGGGAACAACGAATCAAGCATGAAACCTTCTTCAAGTTTGTGACGAATGTGCGCGGGACGTACTCAGTACTTCTTGATCGTGCAGAAGCCTATGAACGACGGCAAACCAAAGACTTACTTCGTTCTAAGCTCCTGTGTTGGCGGAATCAACTTGCCGTACAACATGAACGAGACAACATTGCGTTTGAGTTCTATGCACCACGTCTCGCTCAGGAATCGCTTGTGGCCTGGCGCTCAAAGCTTCAGCATGTGACGAAGATCGAGGAATGGGCACAAAAAGCTAGGTTCTACTTCCTAGCCACTAAGTATACCAAACAGTGGCGTGCCGCTGCGACAGAATCAGCCAAACGGCGTCGCCAGGAAGCCTACATCAAGACTCGGAGGAAGCATAAAATCAAGCTTGCAACCGATGCTCTTCTGCACTGGTTATCGAAAGCTCGTACTGTGGCTGACCTAGAGCATCAAGCCATACAATTCTCGCGACAGAAAGTATTGGTTACCGCAGCTGAGCTTCTGGGCCGATGGCAAGACAGGACAATCACTCGGATACAAGAGTGTGGTTATGCTGACAATCATTATGCGCGTCAGAACGTGCAAGAACAATTGACTCGCTGGGCTGACAATCTGGCTGAGGTTCGTCGCCAGGAGGAACAAGCCAACGCTATACACCATCTCCATGCTTTATCACAGGCCAGCTCACAGCTTCGCAAGCTGAGCTTCCGCATCTTCCAAGTCAGGCGCTTCTCTGAAATGGCCGACGCGATGAAGGACCGCAACCTCAGAAAACATACACGTGGCATGTTCCGCAACTGGCTTGACCAAGCAAGAGCGAAACTCGAAGCGCGAGATACCGCAGGGCCATTGCTTAGTCCGCGGAGGAACCTTGATGCTCCCCTCGGACTCGATACGAACCGGCGCCTCTTCGATCCTTACTATCAGGTCGAGACTCCGTTCAAGACCTATGTTACAGAACCCCAGGCTACTTCAACAACACCTCTAGCGACCCCTAACTTCCTCACATCGCCGACCAAGCGGGCGGCGCCGCCATTGGCCCAGGGTTCTACCACACCGGCTACACCTTTGTATACGCCCTTTGCTAGCCGACTACTACGCGCGGGCGCCTTACCTCGAACATTATCTAGTCGACGTCGTGCTGGACAAGGTAGTGCGCTTGGCACAAGTGTTCGATTCGTGGATGAAGAGCCCGAGTCGCCAACGGACGGGCGGCGGTCATCTGGTCGACGAACATGAGCACCCTGCTTGTTATCATCTTCAAGTTGTGATGATGGCTTTCTTTGTTGGCTTGCTTGAATTTCTTGATTAAGATCATGATACCCGTTTGCGTTGTTATGATAGCGTGTAGACTCTGGTTTTTCACTTCCTTTTACATATACTTTGGGCCTATATATCGGTCATGAATGACGTACCATATGCATAGACACTTGGATTCGATGTACTGTATAATGACTTCACTTGAGATATTAAACACCACATATACATGCCCTCTTCCAGGATTGCTAGGCTTACCTGCTTTGTTCGTTGTATGTTCGCTTTGGGACAGTGGAGCAACAGGGACACTCAAGCGGATTGCAAGTGATCGGCCGATGGTCACACGGCGGAAGGCGGGAGGAGCAGCGGAGAGCAACAGCTTAGCTTGTTCAATCGGGGATGACCTCCCCTCCTCCAGTGAACTTCCACCCCCTCGGTTTCCCTGTCGCCACATCGACCTTTCTTGCTGACTTGTCTCTTACTACCTATCCTCTTGATAGACGCTTCGTGACTCTGCACCTGGCAATGGTGTAACCTCATCTTGTGCGCAACACGCGTCCAACCCCCAACAACCACCGCCTCTATGCGAGCGGTACTGCCGGGGAGGCCCCCGACGAAGCTCCAGTCGTTCAGCACTGCGCTGTGGGATGGTCTTCGCGTTATTGTAAGGCTCCCTACTGAACCTCCATGCGACATTCCTCGTTGTTACTTCTCTGCGGTTTCGCTGACCTATTGCCCTCGCGCGTCGTCTCGTATTAGGTGTACATTTCCGGCCAAGCACTGGTTATCCTCGGCGGTCCACACAAGCTCCTACAAACCATCTACGTCGACGATACCGATGTCTTAGAGGCAGTGACGATTGATGAAGTCTCCGGCAAGATTGCCACGTGTGGTGGACCCGATGTCTTTATTTACCAACCATATGGAATCCAAAACGAAACGCTCAAGGTCGGTTCCTGCTAAGATGACACAGAGTGGAAATTGGTACAGTCGGACAAGAACAAGGCCGAGGACAGTGATACTGAAAATGCTTCTCTTTGTATAGTGGTCCCTAGTGCAAACGTTCCGCAGCGATAATGACGACGAGACGATCCGTACCCTTTCGTGGGGCTCGCCCGATGAATTGCTTCTGGGAAATTCCCACCTTACCCTCTGGTTTTTGAACGATCAGCCGCGACCGGTGTGGAAGCAAGCACTGGCAAGCACGGTCAAGTTCGCCCAGTTCTCCCCCGATGCGACGCTTTTGGTGACCGCCGGACATTATGATCGCATGGTGAAGGTCTGGCGAAGGCTGAACTTCGGGAATAACATTCGGTTTGAAGTGTCTTATCTTCCACATCCGACGGTCGTCACTGGGATTCATTGGCGCAGACCCTACCATAGGGAGCAGTCGATGGGCAATGTCTTCTACACGCTGTGCGCGGACAATAAAATCAGGGTTTGGGCGACGATAGACAATCATGCTTCGACTGCCTTGCAACTTTGGACGCAGATCGACATGGGCGCATCGGTTCAGCCGAGACATGCAACAAAGGATACGGATACCTCTCGTCGGTACGGCTTCATAGTTGACAGCCGGGATTTCTGCGTCGCGACCGAGAAGGCCGTCCTGCGTGGCACAGGCAACACGGATAATCACGCCTTGGAGCATATAATTGAAGTGGCAAACAAGAGCCCGGAAATCTGCGTTGTAATAGACGGCGAGGGACACATGTCGGCCTGGGCGTTGCAAGATGTTGGGTCGAAGGCCAAGGCGGAATTGAACGTGTTCAACATTCTCCATGTCGAGGGCTTGAATTTTGCGTTCATGCCTGGGTTGACGATTGAAGAGGACTATGCGCAGCTGTGCGCTTTCCAGGGCACAGAGCCGGGCGACTCAATCGCCGTCCTAGTTCACCACTTCGACGGTCGGATTGAGTGGTTCGACTCGCCGGTCGACGTACTATTCGACCCAGCACCCCGCAAGAACCGAGTTGTCATGAGAGCATCATGGACAGGACACAATGGGCCAATCAAGAAGATTGTTCGTAATGCCATTGGAGATACACTCGCCTCTCGTACGGATGACAGCAAAGCATTGATTTGGAGGCAGAAACAGAGAGATAGTGGATCAGCGCTGCTCCGGCAGTGTGCACTGATAGCAGAAGAGCATATCCATCGCAGCTGTGTTGTCGGCGACGGGGACTTCCTTGTGAATCTTCATCATGATGGGATTTCCGTCTGGGATATTCGTTCATTCCATGCGACAAAGCTTGCAGCAGCAAAATTCAAGCTCTCCAGCAAACCACTCTGTGTCTTACCGATTCCTGCTGCGGAATTGAATGGTGTCGTGTATATAGCAACCATTGCGAGTGGCATGGATGGAATAGCTTGGGAGATACAGCTGCCGAACTCGAAACTGGGAAAGCCCGAGTGCAGTCTACGCAAGTTCTGCACATTTCACCTTGGCATCCAAGAGGACATCGCCTACATTTTACCTGTTGATCCAGCTGGGCGCAAAGCTGAAATGACCGGCTTTTTCGATCTCTTCTCGCCGGATATTGCACTGTCATACACCAAGACTGGCACCGTCAGAACGTGGACGGCCAAGGTTGATAGGGACAACAATCGCGTCGATTGGCTCCTGACATCTACAGTCGAAACAGGCATCACGAACTTGTCACTGGCTAGCGGTAGCTCCATTCGGAAAGCTGCCCTGGTCGACGAAGATCGTACACATCTGACGATATGGGATACGAACGATGCGCAGCTAGAATTCGAGGAGCACTTTTCGCAGCAAGACTCCATTCGTGACCTGGATTGGACATCTACCCCGGATATGCAGTCTATCCTTGCAGTTGGATTTCCACACAAAGTCATTCTTCTCTCTCAACTGCGCTACGATTATCTTGATTCGCGTCCGTCCTGGACACAGATCCGAGAGATCTGGATCCGTGATCTCACACCACATCCCATTGGAGACTCCTGCTGGCTTAGCAATGGCCATCTCGCCATCGGAGCTGGAAACCAATTATTCATATATGAAAATGAGATCAGTGCTGCTGATCACCTGATATCTCAACTCCGTATACCTGCTCGTGGCCTTTCTACAGTTGACCTGTTTGATGTCGTGAGCAGACTCAATGGACCATTACCTGTTTTCCATCCACAATTTCTGGCACAGTGCATCCTTAGCGGAAAAACAAATTTGGTGCACTCCATACTATTGAACCTTCATCGGAAACTCAAATTCTACACGGAAGGGGACGACATCGATGGATTCCTGGAAATGTCTCTGGAGGACTTCTATCTCGAGCATGATGTATGTTTTGAATCATTAACCGCGATACCGTGTCACTAACGAGCCCAGACCCCACAGAAAGCGACTTCAAAAGAGCTCAATTCATCGTATGCCGACCTTTCCTTGGAGGATGAGGTGACCGTGGTGGATGAGAATATAGCTGTTGCGCTCAATGAGAATCTGGCACGATTTGCCCTACCGCAGCTGTCCAGCCAGGAACAATTCCGGCTTGTTGACACCGTTGAATGTGTGGCCACCGTTGAGAAGCACCGGCGCTCAATGGATGACAATGCTGCTCGGTATCTCCTCTTTTTCCGACAACATCTGCTGCGCAGAACTCAGGGAGTCGCCACCAGCGATACAGTGTCATGGAGAGAAATCGTGTGGGCGTTTCATAGCGGTAGCCAGGATATTCTGGTCGATCTGGTTTCGCGACAGTATGGTGGAAAAGTGGGTTGGAAGTCAGCTCGTGAGAGCGGCATTTTTATGTGGCTGTCGAACCCTGCTGCCGTGGTAAGTCTAGATATCATACCGACCGATTTCCCGCATAAGACTAACAGGTACCAGCGGGCCCAACTCGAGGTGGTTGCTCGAAATGAGTACACCAAGACCGAGGAGAAGAATCCGGTCGACTGCTCATTGTACTATCTTGCTCTCCGGAAGAAAAATATTCTCCAAGGACTTTGGCGCATGGCGCATTGGCATCGTGAGCAAGCGATGACGCAACGTTTGCTGTCAAACAATTTCGACGAACCGCGATGGAAGACAGCAGCACTGAAGAACGCTTATGCTTTACTCGGGAAGCGGAGGTTTGGTGAGTTTACCTCTACCCGCCGATGTTTTCGGGAGCTGTGCCTGATTGACTCTCGGTAGAATACGCTGCCACATTTTTCCTACTTGCTGGGCATATACGCGACGCTGCTCTCGTATGTGTGAATCAGGTGGGCGATCTTCAGCTTGCCATTGCCATCACCCGTGCATATGAAGGCGATGATGGGCCTGTTCTGAAGGAGCTTCTCGAGGAAAGGGTGCTTCCTGAGGCTGCTGCCGATGGCAATCGATGGATGGCTTCTTGGGCGTTCTGGATGCTAGGACGTCGCGGGATGGCCGTCCAATCGTTGATCGTGAGTCACTCACTCCTGCCACCCTAACGTGGCGAGATATACTAATAATGAGAAGTCTCCCGTCGAGTCGCTCATACCTCCTACGCCATCTTCACCTGGGCCACCGGGGATGATTCCCCTGCAGGCCAAGTCATACCTCTCCAACGATCCTGCATTGGTCGTCCTCTACAAGCAGCTCCGTGAAAAGACCTTGCAAACACTTAAGGGAGCATCGAAAATCTCCCCGCAGGCGGAATGGAGTTTTGTCACCCGCAACGCTCGTCTATACGATCGTATGGGCTGTGACCTTCTTGCACTGGATCTCGTTCGACACTGGGAGTTCCTCGGTGGGCTGCCAATCCCCAAACAGACGAAAGAGATTCCATTGGACCTGCAAGAAGAGGAGCCTGATTACCGGAAGCTGCTCCGACGCCGGAGTAGTCTCGTGGTGGCAGATTTGCCGGCCAAGGAGCGCCTGGCCCCTAAACCGCATACCCCGGCTGATGCATCACAGAAGACGCCGAAACCGCCGCCCACGATGTTCCATGAGCCTGATGCGAACTCCCTACTTGACAGCTTTGGCTTTTGATTCATCCTAGGTCTTCAGCGGCGGCAGTTATACGGCGTTCTATTGTGCGTTTATGCGTCCTAATTGTTCAGATCGGTTGACCTGTGGCTTCTCTTCTGAGTACCTCGTTCGTAGTCTTTTGTCGAGGTTACTTGCCCAAAAGATAAGGGTGATATGGGCAAAGTTGCGTCTGCGGACCCTCGTGTATATTAAAGTTCGGTTCAGAGCCCGGTATGTGAATAAGCGGTTGTCATGTAAGATGATAATTATGGTTTTCGTTGTTGAACATAAAGCTTTATTATATTGTTGTATGATACATAACACTTCTATAGATCTGTGCACACTTGTACTGTACTCTCCAGACGCCACAAAAATCAATCACCCAATCGCTGAAAGGCTGACAAATATACAAGATACACGAGGCCCAGAATATACAAAAACTCAAATCAAGAACATCAACAACAGGAAAAAGTGCAGAAATCGATTCACAGATTCGACAAGCGAGTGCGCGCCGCGCGCCGCAGGCGCATTGACCGCGACAGAACCGGAGCCGTCGAGTTCGCCTTCCCAGCACCGGCATTGGTGGCGGCGGTGACATTTTCTAGCGCGGCGTGCAACTTCGAAAAGATCGTGGGTTGCAGCTTGGGGATGTCAGGGATGGCGGGGATCTCGGGGATTTTGGGATCCGTGGACGAGGACGATTGTGACTGAGACTCGTCATCATCATCATCATCATCATCATCATCACCGTGAGGTTGCGCCTGTTGCGAGGGCTTCTGCTGACCACTACCGCCGCCACTGCTGGTGGTGGTGGTGGTGCTGCTTTTTCCGATGCTTGTGCCGGTGGAGGAGGACTTCTTGTCGGTCTCGCAGTGCAGCATGATCCACATCTGCGAGAGGGAGTGGAACTCGCGCTCGGTGCAGGTGGCGGCGGCGCTGCCGTCCGCCTGGATGGGGACCTCGATCAAGGGCGCGTCGACGCAGCCCGGCACCTCGTGCACGGTCACGTTGCACCGGTCGTAGGGCCCCGTGTAGACGGCCTCGGCGTTGAAGGAGATGGCGTCGGCGTTGTAGCGCCGGCCCACGGGGAAGGCCTGGCAGGTGCCGGAGTAGACGTCGATGACGACGGTGGCCGATTGGTCGTCCGTGCGCTGGAAGAAGGAGGCGAAGAAGTTGGCGAGGACGCTGTTGGTGTTGCTGGTGCTTTTGGTGCTGGGGTCATCGGATGGTGATGATGGGGCCGGGGTGTCGGAGGATGAGTCGTCGGCGGGACATTCGGTGTAGAAGCTTGCCCAGACGCGGGCGATGCTGAAGGCTGAGCTTTGGGTGGTGTTGAGGAGGAGGAGGGTGAGGATTGTGGTGATCTGTTGAGAAGGTGGGGGTTAGCTTAGTACTTGGGGAATGTGGTTTGGGTTGGTTGGAGGGAGGATGGTGGGGTGCTCACGGTTGACCACTGCATGTTGATAGTTGTGGGGGGTGGTTTTTGTTTATTTTTTTATTCTCAAGACGAGGGAGGATGAGCAGTTCAAAGAACTGTGGAGATGGTTTGCAAAGACAAAGAGCTTGAGCTCAAGCCAGCGAAGGAAGATATAGTAGTTCTGTCTGGTGAAGATGCTGAATAAGATCTGATTGTTTCTTCTCTTCGAACCACGAATTTGACCATCATTTTATAGCCTTCTGGCCCGTATACCAGCCTCTATGTTTATGCGACAGAAGACTTTCCACCTCCACGAGAAGGAATCTGTCAAGTGCATCATCTGCACGCCCAGCATTCCGGGGCAATCGGTTCATCGTCCATTCAAACGCCGCGCTCCCACATTCTCCGGCGATTTGCCATCAAGGCGCGTCCGATCATCATTCCGGATCAAGTAACGGCCCTGACGATCTTGACGTTTTCATCTGGTGCGAATCTGCACCGCAAATTCTTCGGCAGGGTTAGTCGTGTCGTGGCATTCGAGATCGTGGTGGCGCGCGGGTTGCCAGCCACATATTCAGGCGCAGCGCGTCTGTGGGAGATGGAGAGTGTGTGAATGTGGGAGAAGGAAGCTTCTGAGATTTCAGGTAGGTGAGAAATAAGTAGACAGCAGTGTGTTGGGAGGTAGGATACTGAGATACTCACATGGTTAAGGTGTTAAGGTGGTGGGTGTGTAACTATAGTTTAGTCTTTAGTCCAACCATAGTTCCGCACTGCCTGAGGCCAGCTTCGGCCTCCCTTCCCAATGTGTCAGTCAGTCAGCACTGTTTTGCGCCCAAGCCACTTACTTGCATACTATCGCCTACCTCAGCTCGACTAATGTACGTCGCTGGCCCACTAACTCACAGCCCTTGCCTGCCTCCTGCCCATCTATGACGATCGGAGAGAAAGACACATACATACACACAACCACACACGCACACCACGAATGCTGTCCTTTATGCTGGAGCCGAAGAGCCTATCGGCGATTTAGGGTGCCACAAACTATGAGAAAGATGATGTCGATCAGGAGTGTCCTTGCTCATCCGTGAACTATTGGTCGGCGCCAACCTCGTGAATCGCTAGTGGACGAGTTAAACCCTCCGCCGACACGACGTATGATCCAGGTCACCTCTTGAGTTGTTCGGGCACTATATGTACGTGCTGTCCACCTCCCTCCGACGCTACAATAGCTCAATTTCCCCCGACTTCACCTTCGAAACCAACGCCAATTTTGCTCTACGTTGCTTTCTGGGCGACAGAAGTCTCTGAAACTGTTGATTCTCTATCATGGCCAAGACAATCGAGTCTTATACCGATGTGTACGTTCTCTTCAATTCGCTTTTGAAAGTCTGTCACTTACTGTTGCGCAGGCTGATCATCGGGGCAGGCCCATCGGGGCTGATGGCTGCCTACTGGATGGCGCGCTGTGGTGTTAATGCTCGCGTCATCGACAAGAAAGGGACCAAGGTCTTCAAAGGCCATGCAGATGGACTCAGGAGCCGAACCCTGGAATTGCTCGACAGTATTGGCGTTGCCCAGCGGGTCCTTCAAGAAGGCCATGAAGTGTTTAGTATGACGTCTTGGGTCAGTATCTTACAAACGCAGGACTCAGACCACATAACTGACCCTTGGATGTAGGGGCCTGATGAGAACGGAAAGCTGTGCCGCCAAGTTACCACGGACCTGGAACCTAGTCCACCATACGCTATCGCTGCGCTGAGCCAGGGTCGTATCGAGCGTTTCCTCTTAGACGCCATCGCAGAACATTCCAACCTCGAAGTGGAGAGGGGCGTCATCGGCGAGTCGTTGGAATATGATGAAGGACTTGAGAGCGATCCACATGCGTATCCTATTACGCTCAAGCTGAGGACACTTAGTGAAGAAGAAGCCTCTCCGGCGCCGGCTCACGGTGTCTCGGACAGGTCTCTCAATCATGCGGTGGATGTTGATGATCAGAAGGACACGATTCAGCGTCGCAAGCACAAGGTTGGGACGGTTGAGACGCTCAAGGCCAAATATGTGATTGGCTGCGATGGAGCGCACAGCTGGACTAGGAAACAGCTCAATATCCCCTTCGAAGGCTCGACCACAGATCACATATGGTGGGTGAGCGAAGCGCTGTCGTTTACAAAGCTTGCTGCTGGGAACTAACATTGTACTTGTGCTCCAGGGGAGTTATTGACATCGTTCCCATCACAAACTACCGTCAGTGTCCGATTCCAGGCAAGAAGGATAACTACGATGCTAATATGATTTACAGCGGACATGCGTCGGATTGGAAGCCTAACCAATGCATCAGGCACAGTGCTCATCGTCCCGAGAGAAAAGAACCTGGTCCGCTTTTATGTCCCATTGCAGGAGGAACTAGAGGTTTCTCAGAAATTTGATCGGTTGGCAGTGACCCTAGAATCAGTCCGACAAAGGGTGAAGAAGATAATGAGTCCTTTCTATTTCGACTTCGATGTTTGTGATTGGTGGACCGTATACCAGGCATGTTCAACCCTAGCCCATACCTGGACTCATCAATAACTTGTGTCTTCTGGGCCTGTGCCTTCAGGTTGGTCGGAGAATTGCACAAACGAACGCTAAGGGTCGCGTGTACTTGGCTGGAGATGCAGTTCATACTCACTCGCCTAAGGTGGGCATGGGCTTGAATATGAGCATGCAGGACGGATTCAACATTGGCTGGAAGGTCGCCCTTGTTGCAAAGGGTCTCGCAAAGCCCTCGATCCTCGATACGTACAAGTCCGAACGCTACCCCCTGGCCGAAATGCTCCTTGATTTTGACCGTCAATGGTCTGCACTTTTCTTACAGCAGGAACAGCAAAAGAGTCACGCAGCCCCGGTGGCACAAGAGACATTGATAGCGATGAGGGACGTTCTGCGCAAGACAGAGCACTTCTCTCAGGGCCACACTTCGTATTACCGCGAGAGTCCATTAGTCTGCAAGCAGTCAAAGGCAGTAGCCCAACACCTTACCCCCGGCGAGAAACTTGTTCCGGTGAGACTTCGAAGTCAAGCCAATGGTCTGCCTTCATGGACCACGAAGATGCTGGAGAGTGACGGACGCTTCCGGATCCTGCTTCTAGCTGGAGACGTGCGATCAAGGGAACAAGCAAGTCGTGTATGGGTATGCGGCGATGGATTGGCTCGTCTGCTCAGGCAATTCACCCCGGCCAAAGACAAGCTGGACTCACTCATCGATGTCAGAGCAATTCACAGCGCACCCTTCGCGGATGTAGAGTTGGATATGTTTCCCAGTGTTGTGTACCACTTCGATGAGAATGAGGGCTGCGACCTTACCAAGGTATGGAGTGATAGTGCATGTAGTTGGGGCCAACAATCCGACGGTAAAGGATACGAAACCTGGGGAGTAGATCGATTGAGGGGAGGATTGATCGCTATGCGGCCCGATCAATATATCGGATGGATGGGTGAGCTGGAGGATGTTGCTGATTTGGCTCGCTACCTCCAGGGGATATTTGTGAAGAGGGAGGCCCGCCCCATGCTGTAAGCAGTTTTCATGAAGTCGTTCGATTGCTTGACCAGACGGCTTGAATCCGGGCTCATGCATGCGATCTTCTAATTATAGTCATTCGATGAAGCTCGTGATAACTAATGCACCTGTGTGTAATTGACTCGAGACGTGGAGGCGATGAGACCCGAAGCGCTTCGCCCGAACACGGTGGGTCAGATGTCACTGATAAGGCGCGGAAGGAAGATCGAAGAGGGGAAGAAATTCGAGTCAGTATAAGAAGTTTGACACTGTCCCTCAACCACCGACGAAGTAGTCCGTCTTACTGTACACATCTCTGAGTGACTCAGCCGCAAGAATGACACAAATCTCTCCCACCCAACATCACATCGTCTACCTCCAGGGTGATTTCGTGGAGATCCTCGACTTCGACCTTCCCGCCCCTCACACCTACACCAAGACCGTCTACCCGCAGACCTCTCCCTCAGAGCTCCACGAGCGCATCCACGATGCATCAGTGATCGTCCTCTCCGCATTACGCGTCGACGCCAATGCCCTCGCTGCCGAGGTCAGCCCGAATCTCAAGCTGGTGATGGTCGTGGCGGTGGGCACCGACTGCATCGACCTGGAGGCGTGTCGCAACCGCGGCATCGTCGTCTCCTACATCCCGGGAGCCAACACCGAATCCGTCTCGGAGCACGCCATCGCACTGCACCTGGCCGCGCGCCGGAAGATCCTGGGGATGAACGCCCTGACGCGCGCCGGCGAATGGCCGCGGCGGAAGACGCTGATGTTCGATTTCCTCGACAAGGCGGGCGCGCCCCCCTTGACTTGTCAGGAGGAGGTGGCGGGCATTATCGGCAATGGGGCCGTTGGTGAGATCCTCTTTGACCCAGGAATAATTGTTTATTCTTTCATGTGATTTTCCTGACAGTCGAGAAACAGGCAAGCGAATCGCTCATCTCGCCCGCGGCATGGGGATGAAAGTGATCATCTCCGACCGCAAGCCACTGGGTGGCGGAACGACATCTACAACTATCGGCAAGGATGGGCTCGAACGGGTTCCGTTCGAGACCGTCGTCAGGCAGAGCACGGTCCTCTTCGTGGCGGTGCCCCTCCTGGACTCGACGCGGAATCTCATCTCGACGGCCGAGTTCGAGGCCATGTCGCCCCATGCGGTGCTGGTCAACGTGTCGCGCGGGGGCGTCATCGACGAGCCTGCGCTGGTCCGCGCGTTGACGGACGATCGCATCTCCGGCGCAGCGACGGATGTCTTCTTCCAGGAGCCCGCGGGGCCGGACAACTCGCCTTTGCTGGCGGAGGGGACCGAGGGGCTGAATCTGATCGTGACGCCGCATCTGGCGTGGTTGGCCCAGAGGACGATGGCGAACTACTCGCAGCGGCTGAAGCTGTCGGTGGAGGAGTGGTGCAGGGGGAGGCCTTTGAATGTGGTTACTTAGCTCTGCTTATAATTCACTCGACATGACCATAGAGATTGCACTTAGTGATGCCTGTTATTCACTAATTAGCCTGAAGTATAAGATAAGTATACAAATAGTCAGTAGCGGAATGTGGCTTGAGTCGACTAATACTGGTAGACTGTTACTAGCTGTTTAATCTACGGAAGCTTCTATAAATGATTGAATAGCACGGTCGGATAGTAGTTGGCTTATATTATTCAAAAGTCACCTGGATATATTTAATAACATCCAGTAATAGTTAAAGCCGGAGAAAGTAGTTTTCCGTCGCAGTCTTTTCTAGATCCCAACCTATCTTTAATCTAGGACCGGAGCAGTTAGCTGCAACCAAACTCCAAATATCTTAGCTGCTTATTCCACCAATATCCACATAATCTTGACCATCAGTATCTTTCCTTGTTACAGATTTTGTTTTGTGCTGTTGTACCAATAATCAATCATTTTATTGGAACAAATTCTGCGCTCAGTAGCTTGTTCAATGTATACAAGATATTGGCACGAGCAGAACCAGATTTACATCAGAGACCCACAGTCGGCTGCAATTCGTATGCAAAGTATTTTATCTAGTAGATTACACGTATAAATGCCAGTTTGCATGACTTGACCCTATTATCGGTGCAGTATTTTCCGAAATGCCTTGCTACTTGCTCCATAGTTACGTTTTCCCCAGCCATCAAGGTCTGCTACTTAGGATTTTCTTCCCAAGGAGATGGTGTTGATCCAAACAGACTGACTGCCTGGTGCCCAGAACTTAGTAGTAGGCGGTATGGGCCTGGCTCTAACGGTACGGTTGCGGACAACCTGTTAAAACAAAACGAGGGGGTACTGGATTTTCCATCTAAATAATACGACAACATCAAAACTTTATGCACATCTATGTACCTTACAAACACAAACCCACACGCACATGCACACCATCGAGAGCGCCGCCTCATCACCACAAACACACGACCATCGGAGTGATGGATGTGACGTCCACGCCATAACAGTAGACGGTGTCCTTGTTGCCTGCAGTCTGGCACTGCACGGGGGCCGACAGAGCGGGGCAGGTCAACGTGCCAGGCCCGTCGCTCGTGCCGGAGTAGCTGCAGCCACTCATGCCGTCGACGTTGAAGCCCAGCGTCCAGTCCCCATCCGGATACGGATATCCGTCGCTATCCTCGTCGTTGGGCGCGAAGATCTCACCAGTGCCGTCGCACGCTTCCAGAGTTGCCCCAATTGCGACATCGAAGAACTGCCAACTGAAAGGGGTGAGGGAACTGGCGTCTTCGGCAAGTGCGATCACCACTTGTGCCGTGGGGTCGGGAGACGGCGCGGCAGTGGTAGTAGTTGTGGTGGTGGCTCTCGACGTGCTGGACGATGAAGTGGTGGTGGTAGGTAATTCGCAAATCTCATCGCCCAGGTCGCGTTTGGCGCTGTCCAGCTTCGTCCAACTCAAGGTGATGGATTTGGAACATACGTGTTCTGACGTGGATTTTAGCTCGAATTGCGTGACCAAAGTGTTGAATGCTTTCTGTAACGCGGTGAGCTCTGAGATGCCATCATCCCCGGCCCCTGTGGCAACACTCGCAGCAGTGATGAAGCTCGTGTCCAGGTTTTGGACCATGAGGTTCGCCGTATTCAGTCCCTCTTCCATCATGTCCACCATACGAGCAGTCATAAAGTCTCGATACAGGGTAGCTAGGTTAGTATTTTCCAGTTCTTTATTGTCCGCGGTATACTCGTCGACTGCAAGACTGGATTCGGGTTGCGAACATTCCTTAGCTTCTTTTTTCTTTTTTCACTTGACTCGAGGTAGGACGGTAAGTGTGGCGCGAACTTACAGCTCAGTATAGACTTTGTTGTTGGTCGAGTCGAGCACGGGGGTCAGCCACGGCTCCGTCCAGACATAACAGCTCATCGCCAACGTTTCCAGGAAGTTCAGCTTCGTGGCTAGCTTTTGTCGAACCCCGATCTCATTTTTGTCCGGACCCCACGGCATCGTAGCCGAGATCCTGTTCCTCTTGAGTATATTGTCTTTGACGCCGGGGATGGACTCGTAGCTCCCGATCTGGTGGATTTTGTTAACTCTCTGCTTTCGGTGGACTTAAAAGTCCGCGTCAAATCGCCTCTTTGCCGCTCTATCGGCCACTCGCTTCGATACCAACAATGGGAGAGTTGGCGGACGGTTGTAATCGAAAGGTACTTACCAAGCCTTTGTAGTCGCTATTGACCTCATGAGTCATACCGATGAAGTCCCATTCCTTATTGTTCGCCACCGCGTTGAAGACTTTCTGTAGGAGATTGGTCGAGCACCCTTCGCCGAACATCACGCTGTTCATTAGGTCGCAGTTCCATTTCTCCTGGGCGATGATGGAAGTCCAGAAAGCATTGAACCAATTACGCTCCCCTGTTGTGGCGCAATGCGGTTAGAAATCTTGCAAGTACCATGAGTTGCGTCCACAAGGAAAAAAGCAACCGCCACCGAGGGAATACGCGCGAAAAGATCGAGCAGAGGGAATTGAGTGTGGCACTGCTTCGAAAAACTCACAAACATGGTCATTAGTGGGTTGCTGGGCTTTGCCCGGGCTATTCTTGCTGTTGGTACTCATAAGCTGGTCACTGATCTGTGTCACAGTCGGGACACAATTCTCGACTGTTTTTGAGTACCACCGGGGCATATTCTCCTGGTTGGGTTGAAGTCTGTTGTTGAGTGCACTCTTCAGGAATGAGGGCCCCCCTAGCCATGTCAGCGTCAGGGGAGTAGGCAAGGCGCAGCCGCCTATAGTAGCGGACGTAATTGGATTGAATTTGGGCTTTGCTGCTCGCTTTTCGGGTGAGGGGGGCTCCATCATGGCACGGTAAGCGGTAGGCTCTGCATATCGCTTTTCCAGATTATAGTCCGTCTCATCGGTCGTCAGGGGCATTTCAGCCCAGGCACACGGGCTGCAGCCTTCGAAACGGTCCTCACCAACGGTAGCAGGCGGGGTGGTAGTGAAGGCCGGACAGGCAGCGTCGCTGGTAGAGGTCACGGTCCTGGTAGTCGCTGTGGCGTCGCACCCGACGAAGGGATAGCACGTAGATGATGTGCACGACGTTGTTGCCAGTGCCACCGCATTGGTAGTCACCGTGCAGTATTTGACGCAATTGGTCGCGGTGGTGGGCTCACATGAGGAGATCGAGCAGTCGCCGTTAGGGCAACCGGTATCCCCACAAGAGCCATCCTCACAGCCCAGGCCGCCGCACACCTCCAGAGGACAATCGCCTTTGCATCCACTGAGCCCACAGCCAGCCGATCCGCTGGACCCCGGGCACCCATAGGTCCCACAACCGCCATTGCAGCCGAACGAGCCGCATCCTTGACCAGGGCAGCCAAAGGGCCCGCAGTCGTAGGTCCCGCACCCAGCACATGAGGGCGTGACTGCGGGTCCGTTGTCACTGCCATGAGTATAGTGCACGGTTGGTGGGGTTACGCGTGGGTAGTCGATTGAGACGGTAGGCTGCGGCTGAACGATCACTGGATGAGAGGTGCTGGGGAAGACAATGAGGGCCGGCGTGTGCGAGGTTGAAGACGACTTGCTGGAGGAAGGATTGTTGGTGGCGGAGGGATTTGAGGTCGGGTATGGGGTCACACTGGGGGGAATGGGAGCTTCCCAGGGTCCAAGAGTTATCACAGTCGCTGGGGGTGTAACGCTTTGCTCAGGAGTAAAGGTGGTAGTGTTAGGATCGTTTGCGCCAACAGTCACTGGCCACCATGGTATTGCGCTCTCCGGGAAATCGCTAATGGTAATGGTCGAGGTCACAGTAGAGGTTTGATTGTCCTCGGGATTCTTGGAGTAGAATGTCGTGGTGACAGGCGGCCAATGAATGGTTGTGGGATTGATAGGGTAGGGAGGCAAAATGAAGGTACAGGGGGGTACGCAGCTCACAGTGGGTGATGGACTTCCCCAGATAGTGGGATCGATGTAGACTATGTTGTTGCCATCATCATCGCTGGCCGTGTCCGACGATGATGATGACGACGAAGAAGAAGAGGACGAAGAGGAAGAGCTTGAGGCGATTTTGCAGGCGCCTTCGGGACAGTAGCCGCGCTGGCAGGCGAATTCACACAGTGGACCATAGATAGCTTCATCTTCCGGGTCAATGGCCACTCCCACGTCCGACGAGGTTGGGTTTTTGACCGTCAAAGCACCTTGGCCGGTACATGTACAGGCGTTGATAGGGCAGAAGCCGAAGGCACAGCTGAAACTGCACAGTCCCGCCAGGTTGCCGCTCCCTGTCCCTGACACGCAAGCCGGAGGATCAAAGTCAGAGACGGTGGGCACGGACAGCGGTGCCGAGACGGTGGCACAGGCTGTGTCAGGACAGAATCCGTAGTTACAGTCGAAACTGCAGAGACCACTATAACTGGCGTCCAGACCCTCGAGTGGATAGCCCTGCACACCGGTGGCATTGGGTAGCGTTTTTTGGACCCCCATATCCAAGCACGTACATGCACTGACGGGGCAGTAACCGTACATACAAGCAAACTCGCACAGGCCAGCAAAGTTGTTTGCCCCGGTGCCATTGATGCACACCTGATTGTCTAGGAGAACCGGGGTGATGGCGTTCACGCTGGTGGACGCCTTGGCCGAGCCTGTCCACACATTGTAGTTCGCGAGGCCGTCAGTGCAACTGGTGCTAATAGTCTCACCAGCCACCTGGGCAATTGTCGTTCCATCCCTGGAAATGGTAACAACCACTTCCCCAGTATGCCCACCAAATGGAGCTTGTCCATGGTACAGGCCCGTCTGAGGACCTTTCTCGTTGGGAACGTTCCGCCAGACGGCCTCCACTGACACCCCACCGATTGTCACCGCGATGTCCGCCGTATCTTCTAAGAGCGCAGAGAAGAACACCATATCCGTCAGTACTTCGGCTGGGGTGAACTCAAGCTGCAGCTCGCTGGCTGTGTTGGCAGTGGTGCCCCCGGTGCCACACGCCGAGACCGGCTGCACACGATACCACACCACTAGGGTTTCGGTGTAAACCGTGGCGATTGAGTCCTTGTAGGTGTCAGCCACGTACGGCAGGAGGTCACGCCAGGCATCATGGGGCATTCCAGCCACATAGTTGTAGGACGCTTCACCAATTTGAAACGCTGCCATGGCATTATCTCGGAGTGGGCCAATGTAGTGAGACTCGCCATAATCATTCCAACTAATAATTTCAATGAAGTCCGGCCTCAGGTACCAGGCTTCCAACCATCGGTCATGCCAGAGATGGTCACCGCGCCACAGCCAGTTCTTCTTATAGCCCGGTAGATTTGTGTAGAACCACGGAGAAACCGGCATCATGTAGGGAAGAGCCTGCCCACTCTCGTTGAGATACTGCAGGTAGGATGCATCCGTATAGGTGTCCATGTCTTGTGGTCCCCAGGGCCACGCCGCCCAGCTAAAGAGGGCGTCGACGATGCCTCCCCCGCCGGCCTCTAGGGCCTCTTTGGCTCCGAGAGAGGACCAGTCTGGGACAAAGAAACAGCCTGTTTGCTCTTTGATTGTGGTCCAGTCCTCTGCATTTGCAGGTCCCTCAAAGGTTGAGACGAAAGGCTGAGAGTTGTATAGATAGTATGACGAGTGGCTGCTGTATTGGAGGATCAGTGCAGCCACCACGGCCTTGGACCAGGGACCATTCCCCGCATAATCGAATGAGAAGAAGAGTTGAAAGGAGCCTTCTACATTAGCCGCAGCTTGAAATGCTAGCGGTAAGGCAATGTCATTGGTGGGATCCTCGTATGCCATGTTGAGTGCAAAGGCGTCGATTGATGCATCTCGGGCCAGTCTGATGTCCTCTTCCCAATCCTCTAGCGTGTAATTGGCCGTGTTTGTCACCTAGAAGCGAGTCAATCATGGCTATTCGGTGGTTGAAGTGATCATGTACCAATCAAGAAGGGGTGGGGGGGTGTGAGTGGTAAAACCTACCATGAAGTGGGCAAAGACAGCATAGGCACTCACCTGGGATGCACAGAGGCACCCCAGAATCAGGTGAATAACCCTCATTGCGAATGGCTAGACATATGGTTTAGGTCACTGTGTGAGAGGGAGCAATGAACTGCAACGAAGCTTTCTTCGGTCTTGTGGCGTTTCCTTTATACATGTGCTGTCGGCGCTGAACGACCACCTCCATCTTCTATGGCCTCCCTGCCGTTGTGTCCCCCTTTTCGATTGAAACCAAAATATCTCTACCGACCCCAGTCATCTTCCTCATTGCCTTCTTACCCCTTAGTTGTGCCTGCTCTAGTTCTGAAAAAGTCGACCATTCGGATCATCAGTCTAGTGGGCCACATGCCCAGCTAAGATGGTCGCGGGGCCCATTTCGTCCGTTGAGCCCAGAGATAAAAGCAATTGAACGAACGATATCCTTGGCAGGTACTCCATATGGTCCGAAATTACCACAGCCTCTGGAGCTATATCGAGGACGAAGTCCGGGACGAGGCCAAAAGCCCACATACTAGTTACGTCGGATATGACACAAATCCACTTCGCAAAGGGAAGCCTACTATGATGACCAGACAGAGTGGCTCAAATTGCTGCAACTATTTAACCTTAAATTAGTTCTGTCAGCAAGTGGATTGTTAGCATACTGGTAGGCTGCTCGCCCTGTTCCGCCTGCATTCACCGCACTAGCGAGGGTAAAGGGCTGGGATGGGATGACTTGAAGCCTGATCGGTTGAAAGAAACGGACTGGATCTGAGCAATTGAAGACAAAGTTGACTTTTATTAGAGCAGAAATCGTGCTGTATCTATGGTTGATAATCATACATGTGCGCACTATCGACATATTTCAGCAAGTTGAAACTAAGAGTTTGTGATAATAGGCGGAGGAGACATTTGCCGGACACTGACCTGCGGTTGTTCTTTTTAGGGTTAGTTGACCCACCGCAGCGAGGGATTTTTGCTGAACGAGCCTCAAAGAGGAAATATGAGATTCGAACGCCTATCCAATTTGAGTCGCTCAAATAACTTTCTAGCCTTCTGGGTAGGGTTTCCATGGGTCAAGGCTTCTTAGTAGTCACTAGACTCCTCGCTAAAGGGTCCCCATCCGACGGCAGACAAGCAATTTGGCGTCTGATATGAAACTGGTGCCTAAATCTGTTGCATTATCCAAAGAATGTACGGAGTAGAAGCCTGGATTTTCCGACAGATACTCTCGACCAAAAGTTGAGAGTTGAACTCTAACAAAAAGAACAATAAGAAATGGAAAAATAGGGAGAATATCAAAAATAGCAACCACAGCAGCAGCAGCAGCAGCAGCAGGAGAAGGAGGAATCTTGCTCTCTCAGGCAAACCAATCACTTGAGAAAGGGTAAAGCTAATTAATCATAGTCAGTTGACTTGATCTGTATCTGATCCACTGACCTAATCACAAGGGTCTCCTGAATCACCTCCGTCTCTTCCAGGAATCAGAGACCTTATCCGACTTTCCGACCATGGTTAGCGGTTCTAGTAACAGCCCTTTCCCCACCAACACCCTTCCAGGGAAACTCTGGATGGCATCTCATCAGTTACGGATGTGGCTTGATCTCCGCGTCACAAGCTTAGGATCCGAGGCACATATCTCCAAGCGAGATCGTGAGGTGAGCTAGTGGTTTGGTCGGACATCGGGCAATTGAGACATCTCACAAGCTTAGCCTGCGTCCATGCTTTACAGTCCTCGAAAGAACAGATTAATCTGAAGTTAGTGTTCAACAATCCGATGGAAATGATTCCGATTCGGCTTCGGGGCCAAACCTCAGCAGACCATCGCTTCCGTGTTGACTGGAATTTCGCAGCTCCTTAGCCTGACCCCTGAGATCACACGAAACTTATCAGAGACGAAGCCCCTGTTGACCATCCTTCTTTCTTCCCTATTGTGTCTCTTCAGCACTGGCGTGATGTTGTTCCCTCTCATCAGCACCGTCTGGCTACTTCTCTCGACCGGATTCCCCACGGTCTCTGCCGCGGCCTCCTCGTGCGACCAAAATGTGCAGAACGATACCATTGCCTTTTTCAGTAGCGCTCCCCTGACATTTGGCTATAACTTCCCGTCGATGTCTGACTGTGCTACGCGGTGCAGTCAGTGGGAGCGTTGCCAGGCGTGGCTGTTCACTGAGCCCGGCGAATGTCAGCTGTATCGCCGGCCCGCACTGGCTACCGCGAGCAACCCGACTTTTTCCTACGGCGTGTGCGGAGATACTGATCCCCTGAGCTCCACGATCAACGCAGCGGCATCCCGACTGACCTCGGTCTCGATGAATCCGTCGTCCAGCTCGCCCATGGCAAGTCTCTCGGGATCCCATGCGGCAGTTCCTTCATCACACGAGGCATCAGTAGTAAGTTCTATCTCTCTTGGGCTTGAAGCATTAGTGGTCATTGCTAATCTGATCCGATCCTAACTTCTAGACACCTGGTGCTACTATCGATGCTGAACATCTCAGAAAGCATAAGCGCTATGCCGGCAGTCACCACCAACATGGGCATGCAAGGTAGATATCTGGGGGGGGGGGGAGGTTGCAGGTCCATCATGGACACTCGTCCGAAGCACGGGGTCTAGTCAAGTTGTCAAGCCAGGAAAGCCCCAAAAAACAGCGACCCTAGTCAGATGGAGCTGGGATATTGGTCTTAGCAATGACATGGGGAATTCTTTCATGTATGTGCTGTACATAAGTGTTGGCCGTGTGTTGGTAAAATGCTACTGTGGTGAGAAATCCTGCTCATCAAGGGGAGAATACGTCACATTGCTTAAGCTCCAGCAAGCAGTAAATTCCCTTGTGTAGGGCAGTGATTCTCCAAATATGTAATTCAGTACACATTGGGGACTCGTGTGTTTTCTCCTATGAGCTTTCTAAGTATTCTAACCCTAACTCCTACCTGCCCTCAATCAAAACCTTGGCAGGGATGAACAAAGCACAATGTTCTTTAGTCAGCAAGCGACCGACCGACCGACCAACCAACCACGTAGTTTCTTTCGGTATTTCAATGTTAAAACTAAGGTAGTACCTATTGAATTAATCCCGTCCCGCTTCCATCCCGAGCGTCTCTAGCACCAAAGGCGTGGCGTGCTCTTCAACCTCAGCTCCACCGGGCCATTCGAACCCTTCGAAATTTGATTCAACAACAATTCTGATGGCTTCAAGTTCAATCTTACCTCTTGAGATTTTTGAGCAGATTGCGAGCTGGCTTGAATATGAGAGTGACATAAATGCTCTCGCTCGTACCCATAGGGCTTTCTACCATTTTGGGAACCCGATGCTGTACCGACACAATGTGCGCCATGGGAAAGGCTCGGCGTTAGGCTGGGGGGTCCAACATGGAATCCTGGCGACCGTGCAACGAGCTTTTGAGGCCGGCGCCTCGGCAGAAAAGTGCGGCGATGCCGAGATTGAATGGCGACCGATGGCGCTGGCGGTGGTCGAAGGCCACGAGGACATTGTGTGGTACTTGTATGAACACTGTAGGGTCAATATTCGTCGCACGTGGGGATGGATGAATCCTTGTCATGAGAGATATGGCAAATATCCCGGCAGTCTGCTGCTGCTGGCCGCCCAGAATGGTCATGAGAGCCTCGTTCGCTTCTTCGTGAATCACCTCCCGCGGCCGTACCATGTCGATCATCCAGCGGATCCGGGTGAAGGAACGCCGTTGATGGCGGCTGCCAAAGGGGGGCATCTAGCCATCGTACACCTGCTAGTCGAGGCGGGAGCGAATCTCGAGGTCCAGAATCGCAGTCAAATGACCCCGCTCATGTTAGCCGCGGCGCACGGTCATCTGCAGGTTCTACAGTTCTTGATGCAACAGGGCGCTGACCCCACCGTGACCCAACCGAACGGCTGCTCTGCCCTGTGTTGGGCAGCGGGGAGGGGGCACGTCGAGAGCGTTCGCTGCCTGCTCGAGGAGGATGTGATTACACGGTTGACTTGCCACACTTTGGGGCCGTCGGCGCGGCATCACGCGGCCATCTGTCCCCTCGGGTGGAGCGGATGGTTAAGGCACGACGAGGTAGTCGCCCTGCTTCTAAAGAAATGGGACTATGCAGCGAGGACGAGTCACCCATCCGATAAGGGTGTACTCTTATGCGTGGCTGCGGGCCTTGGATATACGTCCCTAATTCGGGACCTGCTTGAGAACCATGAGTACGATCCCAATGCTCGATTGAGTCTGATTCGAACGCGGTGGGACGAACTACCGACGGCTCTTTGCTGGGCTGCCGCCCGAGCTCGCGTCGAGGTGGTCGAGGTACTCCTCGCGCATAGTGCTGAGGTTTTGCCGGCGCAGACACGGGAGTACCGGAATCCTTTCATCCAGGCCATTGTCCACGGTTCAGATACCATGGTCTCTCTCTTTCTGCGCGCCGGGGTAAACCCAAACGACCAGGATCGAAGTCACAACTTGGATCACCTTGTAGCTCCGGCGCTGAAGCATGCCATCCCATTCGAGAGCATCTTCCGCCGCCTGCTCGTCGCCGGGGCTGACCCTACCGCTGCTGACAGCATGAAGTACTCAGTCATTGCCCATGTCCTAAGATCCGGCCGGACGGTCGTCGTCCAGATGCTTATCGATGAGGATCTGGATCTCTCGCTCCACTTGACTCGCTCCAACCTGTTGCACGAAGCCGTCCGCGGCGGCCGCGCGGTTCTCGAGCTTCTCCTCAATACCGGTAAATGGGATTCCTTGCTCTCGCCCGGCCATCTGGACCCTTCCATCTGCGAGAAAGCTCTCGGGATTGCCGCGGAGACCGCGCAGGTCGAGGCTCTGCAGTGGCTGCTGGATCGAGGGTTTTTGCCAGTCCGAGGTGCCCAGTCGCCGCCGCCCAAGGTCCATCTCCTGAGCCTTGCGGCACTCACAAAGGCGGCCGATGAGGACGCCGCGGCCACTCTGGATCTCCTTCTGCAGGCCGGTCTAGACATCGATGAGACGATCGCCTACACAACCGCGCTGCAGAGTGTGGCCCGGCATTATCACCTGTATGGCGAGTCGGAACGCTTTCGCGTGCGCTCGCGCATGCTGCTCGAGCGCGGTGCCACTCTGTTGCCGCCCCAAAGCCTCCCGCAGGCCACGCGCTACGACACCCTCTCGGGATTTAACATCCGCCTCATCGGTCAGCACCCTGAGCTTGACGTCATGATCTTTCAGGAGTTGGAGGCACGCCGTGAGCCGTGGTCGGTGGTAAAACATCTGTTCAGGTGGGCGGACCATCGTGCGCGCGAGCGCCAGAATTGGAAGCATGTCCGGGTCATCACACAGCACTCGTGGCGAGTGCGGTACCCTGTTTGAACTCGCTTCCTGTATGTGCTGGAGGCTCTGCCTCACATTGGTGGTAACAGTGAGAAAGGTACCCAGGATATGGATAACTGAATGAATGACTCACCATCACGATGGAAAGAAACGCCTGGTTGCGGGTGGACGGAGTCCCCCGCTGAACTGTGGCACACAGTTGTCATGGCAATGACGTCCATCATTGACATAATCCAGAACCCGAACATCCAAAGAGGTGACCAAGTTGGCCCAGAGGTCAATTTGCGAGATGTAATCGAGGCAATGTGGTATAATCTAAAACTAACTAGCATTCCCAGATATATCTTCTATAAGTAATTTAGAAGTATTCTAGAGTATACACAGATGATTTACGTGCTGTCCTTAAAAAAGTGGTGGTACCCTCATAGGGTAAGTAAATAGGAATAACAGTAAACCAGTTTACCTATACACAAATAGGCTACTTATATTTGTCCCGTTGATAGATTAGAAAGAGGCAATATGACGATATTCCTACCAGCGCGGTGCTAAAGACGTAAACTATCGAACCATGAGAAGAAGAGGAAACAGGAAAGAAGAAACACGAGCCTACGGCTTATCTGCGGTTCTGGGATGCCATCCGCGATGGGAGGTGTGGCGATGCAGTGTGGGCGCGATATCACATCGGCGGTGATGTGGAGGATGACATCGTTGATGGCTCCAACGGTAATGCGACAGTCCTCGAGGTCCTTAAGGAGGATGCCCTGGATGTCATTTGCAACCTTGATGAAGGGGAGATCGCGGAAATGGCGGCTCAAAAGAAGAAGGAGAATCAACATGTTGATGGTTAGGGTCTGCTTGATTCTGCTCTCGCGGTGCTTTTGATGCGTTGCAGGGTTGGGTTTCGGTGGTATGATGGATGTTTGTTGCAGGATCTTATTAGAGTCGAGTCCATTCGACTCTAGGTTGATGAATTATCATTCGGAAATAGAACTATGTCACTTTATGGACTGACGTGGTGAGGGTACCTGTGCTTTTGTTCTTTCTCTATCAACAGTAGAAGGTTGGATGAATATTATAAACTTGGTAACTCCGCGTTCAAATGGCCAGCACGCCTACGGAGTAGCTCCCTCCCTCCCTCGCCGCCGCCCCCCGTCCTCAGACATACGGAGCCCACTGCTTCTCGCACCACTCCCAAAGCTTCGCTCCATACCCCAATCCCCCTTCCTCCGTGGAGGCACCCGCCTTGATCAGATCCTGCCGCCCCGTGGCCGAGTCCGGTCGAACGCGTCCCCATGGGATGATATACGCCCCGCTGTTCTCGAGCGTGACCTCAGGCGACAGCCCCGCAAACAGCTCCGTATACGCCCCGTAGATAGACTCCGAGAGCATGAGCCGGTTGATGATGAACATGACGAGGGCCGGGGTCCCGTTGAACGATGCCGTCTTCAGGTAGCCCGGGTTCAAGCACACACTGACAATCCCATCCTTCTTGTACCGCCGCGCGAACTCCCGGCTGAGGAACCAGGTGCCCGCTTTCGACACCCCGTAGTTCTGCGCTAGCTTGTTGGTCCCCTGGTCGATGACCGCCCAGTCGATGCCGTTGGGCGGCGAGCCCACCTCCGCCAGCGCACTCGACGTCCAGATCACGCGCGTTTGGCCCTTGTCGGGGGAGGCGACCGCAGCGGCGGCGCGGAGTTGCGGGAGAAGCAAGTGGGTGAAGAGCAGGGTCGCGATGCAGTGGCGGCCGATGAACAGCTCGAAGTCCTGCGCGGTGCGTTCGCCGAGAGGGACCGTGTTGGCGCCCGTGCCGGCGTTGTTCCACAGCACATCCAGCTTGGACTCCTGCTCCGCGAAGCTAGCGGCCGCGGCTGTCACGGTCTTTGGATCGTTGAGGTCCAGATGCAGGAACTTGAGTTTGCCGCTGGTGGTTGGGGTGTTGGATGACGGGCTTGTGATGGCTTGAATGGCGGCCTCGACTTTGGCCTGTGCACGGCAGTTGATGAGAGAGACAATCAGAGTTTGTTTTGTAGGTATGCAACGGGATAGCTTTGCGCATGCTCACTTTGGAACGAGAGGCTATGTAGATTGTAGCGCCACCGGCATAGAGGATCTTGACCAGCTCCAGACCGATCCCCACATTGCCACCGGTCACGATATACACCCGGCCCTGTAACGAGCCGGCGGGGACATCGGCTTCGGTGAAAAACGGGCTTTGGGGGGTAAATCTGGGTCAATGCGGCCCGTAGGCCGGTAAAAGGTGCCATCGCTGAGTACTTTCTACACTATATGTGGCTAGGGGTTGAATCTCTAGATCAAGTGTTTGGTCTAATGTGGAGGAAGAAACTGGGGAAAGCCAGCTAGGGCTAGGTGATAGCTCCCCCATTTTGGGGAGCTCGAGCTTCAGATGGATTTGTAAGTCAGGCGAGACGATTTCTAAGCGCTAGGCAGAAAGACACGCATGCAATCTGTCTGAGTCGGTTGCGTAGACTTATCTCCGGTTGCTTGGCTGGGTGTGGTGTGATGAGATGCGGGGATAAGCTCCCCACTGTTGGTTTAAACCCGGGGCAGGTGTGAGATGTGCCATGGAAAGGATCTTGCACCACTATGTTTTAACTTAGAGCTCTGGGGTTGTTGATGGGTATAAATAAACCGAGTAAGGGCTTCGTTTGCTTGTTTGCATACGATCAGAAAGAATGGTGAGGTGAAAGCTATGTCAAAGAACTGTTAAAGTGCTGACTGTACGGTCAGTATCTTGTGGCTTGGTACAGTACTACAGGGTACTTACTGCTGTGCACAGGACAAGCTAACAGAGACAGATATTAGGGTTGGTCTAAGGCTTAGTTATGGTGGCCTTTCTAGCTGGCGCCACCCTGCTACCTCGATGACAGGTATTGCTAGATGGGTAGGAGGACATATTCGATTAGTTCTAGGTCGTCTTTAGTGTTCAACTTTGTTGTATGCTAGCTCGCTCTTAACCAGAATCCCTTTCCTCCTCCTGAGCCATATGGTCTGGGTGGGGATCTACCGGCTCTGTTTCAGCCCTATTGCCAAGTTCCCCGGTCCTCAGCTGGCCGCCCTGATGGCGCTTGATGGGGGTACTTCGTTCTGATCCCTAAGAGAGCGGGCAAGCATTTCCAGATCAAGAGCACACACGCGCAGTAAGGGCAGATTGTGCGTATTAAGTCCGGGATTTGTAGTGAAGCAGTTAGTCGCTTCAGTTGCTTTCCCAAAGGAGAGAAGAAGAGCCTAGTTATCTTACCTTATCGTGGCTTAGTCATATCGCGTCATTGCAAGTGGCGGTCTGTGCTTCTTTACCCCGATTATCAATCCAATCCTCGCGCCTTATCTCCTCCTTCCCTTCCATCCATCCCATCATCCATTTTTTTTCCTCGTTCGCAACATGGCCAGCGGCTTCTCTCCTGTTTAACGGTCATGGAAGAAGGTTGAATACAGCGTGTTGGACTTGGGAATGAACTTTGGGCGTGCTTGCACCGCATGAACTACCAAACCATCAACATGGCGGGCGATGCCTCCCCCAATGCCTCCGGCCCATATCGCCAGGCCCCAGAGGTCTCGTCGATCCCATCCACGAATGCCGATGGTGATCCCAGCAGATTTGGGGCTGATAGCTCGAATCCCAAACTTCACCGACAACAGTCGTCTGAGATTTTCGCGGAGAGCTTCACAATCCGCTCCTTGCTGGTCGGGATCCTCATTGGCGTCTTGATCACATTCTCGAACACCTACTTCGGCCTGCAGACGGGATGGATCAGTACAATGGCCATGCCCTCGGCCCTGATCGGCTTCTCGGTCTTCAAAGTCTTCTCGAAATACCTGTCCTACCCGTTCACCCCCATCGAAAATGTCCTCATACAAACGGTTGCGGGCGCGGTCGGTACCATGCCACTCGGGTGCGGCTTTGTGGGTGTGGTTCCTGCGTTGGAATTCCTGATCAAGGACGGACCAGATGGTCCATCGGGGGACGGTGGTACAGGAGAGGGGGGTCCGCTCAAGCTTGGTTTCGGAAAACTGGTGCTCTGGAGTCTCGGGGTCTGCCTGTTTGGCGTTGTCTTCGCCGTCCCCTTGAGGAAAGAAGTCATCGTGCGGGAGAAGTTGAAGTTCCCCAGCGGTACAGCATCGGCACTGATGCTTAAGGTGCTGCACGGTGGCGGCTGGCGCAGTGAGAAAACAGAGGCCCAAGCTAGTGAAGCGGGTGAGGCACAAAGGTTCCGAGAGGAATCCGAGGCGCCTTTGTTGGCGCAACAATCGGAGAATGACGACATTCTCGCAAAAGATGACCCGGCCGATCTAGCAAGAGATAGGGAAGATTGGAGAGCGAAGATGCGTCTCTTGGTGGGTGCGTTTGTCGTGTCCGGCGTATATGTAAGGGTTTAGCCTTCCGTGTGCGATTCGATCTTCCAGCTGACACAGTTATCCCCAGACTTTGTTTTCATACTTTGTTCCTCAAGTCCGCGACATTCCTATTCTTGGTCTCTACCTCGCACGGAACTGGCTGTGGACCCTCAACCCATCGCCCGCCTACGTTGGCCAGGGCATCATTATGGGTCCTTCCACCTGCATGCACATGCTCTTCGGGGCTGTCTTGGGCTGGGGTATACTGTCGCCGCTTGCGAAAGCTCGTGGCTGGGCTCCCGGCCCTGTGGACAGCTGGGAAGACGGAAGCAAGGCGTGGATTGTGTGGATATCGTTGGCTATCATGCTTGCAGATTCCATCGTCAGTCTCGGCTGGCTGGTGGTTCGGCCACTCTTGTCGTACGCTCCCCAAGTGAAAGACAAAGTGCTTTCCAGTCGTGTCGCACGTTGCCTATTTCTTGAAGCAGCAACATCCCGCTCGCATCAGCATTCGTATGTCAGTTATTCTGCCCTAAGCCCTATCACCGAAGAATCATCCTACCAAAGCCGTCTCTTTCCGCCCCTCGAGAGTCGCCCGAAAACCAGCGACGACAACGAAGAAGATGCGCCGCCCTCGCAGCTTATCTCCACCCGCACGGTACTTATATTACTACCGTTGACGTTGATCCTGAACGTGGTTTGCATGCACATCGTGTTCGGCGACTTGATGTCGCCCCTCCTATCAAGTCTTGCCACACTACTGGCAGTCCTTCTTTCCATCATGGGTGTTCGCGCTCTGGGCGAGACCGATCTGAACCCGGTCTCCGGCATCAGCAAGCTGACCCAGCTCATCTTCTCGCTCGCGACCCCGGCCTCGCACTTCTCCCGCCGCACCGCCCTCGTCACCAATCTCCTCGCCGGCGCCGTCTCCGAGTCCGGCGCCCTGCAGGCCGGAGACATGATGCAGGACCTCAAGACCGGCCACCTCCTGGGCGCCAGCCCCAAGGCGCAGTTCTACGGCCAGATGATCGGCAGCCTGATCGGTGCGGTGCTCTCCACCGCGGTCTACAAGATGTACGTGAGCGTCTACGAGGTCCCCGGCCCCATGTTCCAGACGCCGACCGCCTACGTCTGGATCTTCACGGCCCGCCTGGTCACCGGCCAGGGCCTCCCGCCGATGGCCTGGCAGGCCTCTCTGGTCGCCGGCGTCGTCTTTGTCGCCGTGACCATCCTGCGCATCGTCGCCGCCTCCCCCGTCGCCAACGCCGGCCAACGCGGCGTCACCACGCCCTGGCGCGACTGGATCCCCGGCGGCATCGCCGTCGCCGTCGGCATCTTCAATGTCCCCTCCTTCACCCTGGCGCGCGCCATCGGAGGCCTGATCGCCTGGTGGTGGGCCCGTCGCCACGCTGCTGCTGCTGCTGCTGTCAGCCATCCTGACGCGGATCACTCGACCGCCCCGGATGCTGCGGATGGCGGACCC